AGAAAGTCAAATGGTGTAATGATGTTGGTGAGTGGTGTGGTTGTTTCAGTTAAAAATCTGTAATAATCTAATGAAAATAAGACCGAACATTTTTTAAAAAGACTCGGAAAATGATTAGCTTTATAAGACAAAAAGTGACATTTTGTTATTTCAAGTTAGTTATGACTAGAAACGGTTGTAATTTTATTTTCAAGGTAATAAAAAAAAGAGAGTAATTAAATAATAGCAATTTGTTTTCCATTGATACTTTAGGTTTCTCATAATTCGAGACCAAAATTTAGTCAAACTCATATAAATAGAAGATAAATAAATAGATTGATGCATCGTTCGATATATAATTCAGAATTATAAGCATATTTTTCCGTATAAGCAGAAAAAATGTTTTCGTGGCACAAAAGAAAACAAAATTTATTCAATTCGCAGAAAAATTAAACAGAGAAAATGTTTTACGGAAATGGTGTGTAATGTTGGACAGAAAACGTTCTTTTATTCAGTTATTGGGCTGTAAATTTAGTACGTTCTGGCCCAACATTGATTAAGAATTTAAAAGCCCAAGACTAATGGCCCATAACAGAAAAAACGATTACAACGACTTTTTTTTTAATTAACAATATAAAAACTGAAATTGGAATATGATACGATCATTTCTCTTCATGTCGTTTTTTTTTTAAAAAAATGGACTTCGTTTTAATGTTAAAAATTTCACATTAATGTTGTTACAGTTGGAAATTCCAATTTATTGAGATAAAAAAAATCGAATTTCTAATACAAATTGCCGTTACTGCAAATTTATATTAAAATAGCGATCCAGATTCACTATATCAATGTATTTACGTCATAATTAATTTAACTTGAAATTCTGATGCAACTATTTTGCCGTTTAAATTCCTAAAAAATTCTAATTATACATCATATTTATACATGTATATTTCTATATAAACTTATATATATATGCATACACGCACACATAGAAAATATAAATCTAAATACCCTAAACCAATTAAACCGATCCTAATATACTAAAGTCAAATAAATCACCAAATTCTTTAACCAAAAAAACGCCAAATTTTGCGTGAATCGTTTTAAATTTGAGGGTTTTTTTATAGGGAAAATACGTTTTACGAATACCATATTATATGTGTGTGCGTGTATATATATACGATCATACGTACGTATATCTGATGTGATTGATTGGGTTAAATGAAGAAGAGTTACTGATTATTCACCCCAAATCGACCATATTATATAATTAAAAAAATATTTTTGTATATCATATTTTACGTCCATACATATGCCGCGGAAGGAAATAACCGTTAAAATAACTCGACGAAATCATATGTATATATAGGATGATTTTATCGTGCATATAAAAATTGTGTGGATTTCGTATATATTCTCGTTTTAACATATAAATTAACAACCACACCAACCATAATTAATGGATCCAAATTCTAATGCAATTATTAGTGCCAAGTGTTAATCGCTTTCCTTTTGGCACATCAAACGGTTGAAATTTAATTTTCTCGGGAAATTGCTAAATTCTTCGATTTCGTTAAGTTTCCATTTATATATATAGCTATCTCCAATAAAGAAATAGAAAATTCAGAAATCATCACCCCTCAATGAACGAAAAGCGATTTCATTGATACTTGATGCTAAATTTGATAATTCAACCGTCTCATGATATTTGGATTTGAATTTGGACTATGCAACAAAAGTATTTTCGAACAATGTCAAAATTATATTCCTTAACCGTACTCGTATTCTCATTGTGTAATTTAGAATCTCAATCGTCTCAATTGTGAATTGTTGGGCTATTTTTTTAAATAAAAAAGGACGTATTGGAAAGTAGATTTATCCGATAAAAAATACTAACAAATCAATTATAAGAGTACAAACTTGTTTATAAACTTTACACCGTCGTGGTTTCTACTACGATCTCTCACCGATTTCACTCGTTTGAACCAAAAATAAAAACGAAAAGAGAGACGACACCGAATTTACGAGTTCAATTACCGAGCCGGAACTCGGACCTACGTTTCGGAAAGAGAAAATAGCGTGTATCGCTAGGGTTACATCCGGGAAAAACCACCGGATACCGTCAACTGACACCGGAAAGCACGGGAACTAAATGTTCGCCGCAAGAGAGAGAAAAGAGAGCTTGAAAAAACCACATAATGCAAAGCTAACGAAAATACAAACTCTAACCCTGCCCTCATAAATTCGACCATACAAATTACCCTTTTGTCCCTTCGTGTTTCCAAACCTTCTGCATCATTCCGAAGCTTCCGAAACCCTCCACTTCGTCAGGCGGGATTTGACTGAAAGACTAATTCCAACAACAACAAATGAATCACCACACAAATACTACTAATCAAGGCTATAACACATAACGATATATATATATATATATATATATATATATATATGTGTGTAAAAAGATAATGATGATACTATCGTTTTACAGAGAAAAGACCGGCAGTTAATGTATTTACATGGACGGCGTGAGTCATCGCTTTATGCTTTGATATCACACCAACTTTTGTTTTTAAAAAATAAATAAAATTGTTATAGTTTTCATTTGTCAATCTTGGCTTGGTTCATGTAGTCAATCGTCATTTAACACGTTGCCACGAACAAGACTTTCTGTACTTCGATTGTACGGACCCCCTTTTTTCCCCAATTATTACAAAAACTAGTATATAATTTCCCCTTCTTCAATTAATATATCTCTAACTTTCCTTAATAAGAAAACGACGGAATAGGGAAAACAATCAAAGTCAAACGATTTTTTTTTTTGTAAAAATTAACACGTATATGTATGTATGTATGTATGTATGTATGCATGCATGCATGTATGTATGTATGTATGTATGTATGTATGTATGTATGTATGTATGTATGTATGTATGTATGTATGTATGTATGTATGTATGTATGTATGTATGTATGTATGTATGTATGTATGTATGTATGTATGTATGTATGTATGTATGTATGTATGTATGTATGTATGTATGTATGTATGTATGTATGTATGTATGTATGTATGTATGTATGTATGTATGTATGTATGTATGTATGTATGTATGTATGTATGTATGTATGTATGTATGTATGTATGTATGTATGTATGTATGTATGTATGTATGTATGTATGTATGTATGTATGCATGCATGCATGTATGTATATATGTATGTATGTATGTCAATCATCTTTGATTTTTAGATATGAAAATCGTGACGGCAAATCATAGCGTGCACATTAATTAATCTCATTCACACTTGTGTATGTTACATATGCTATCGTCAATCTCCAAGTGCGAATAATTTCTGTTTCCATTGCAGAACAAAATTATTTTTCTGGTTATTCCAACTATCAAAGCTTTTCATTTTCTCAACAACAAAAATATTTCATATAAAAGCCATACGGCGTTTCATATTCACTTGGGTTATAAAATTTAATTGGTGATTATTAGGGTGAGGTGGAAATGGTAAAAAAAATGTTGGAATAATGAATGAGGATGATAAGAAACAATGAGACAATAGGGTTATGTGAATATTAATAAATTGGGCGTCGTAATAATGAAAATATTTTTTTAGAAAATAAAATGAACAAATTTAAATACAACAATAAGCTTCCTTCATTAACTTTAACTACGATCGGAGATTGACACGCGCTAGAAAGAGCGCGTGAGAGAGGGAGGGAGGGCAATGATGATTGATGAGAGACACTCAGTTTCTGACTTTACGAGTTGCGACTCGTCAATCATAATTTTTCTGGGTTTCTCTGTGACGTAAGCGTGACTCATCATTAGGTACGGTATGAAAAATCGTCCGTACCTCCTCCGTAATTACTAATATACCCTTATTCCGGTGTTCGGTTTATTTACTATTGTTGAGCCTCGACGTGATTAAACTAAACAACTGCATACATCACGTAAATTTTTTAAATTTTCCCAAAGTTGTTTAGAATTTTGATATTTTTATAAAGAATTATTATTCTCAGTTCGATCTTGGATCTCTTTATCTGCGACTCAAAATTTAAATATAAAATCGTTACAAGATTTTTTTTGGGTAAAAAATCGTCGTTATAAGATTGTATTACCAGAATATATATATATATATATACAATGTAAATAATTTACTTGTGCTAATCCCATAATATCTGTAAGCCAGCTAATGTTTACAACCTCAGAATCTAATTAATCACTATTTAAGTAAAGACTAAATTTGAAGAATGTAAGTTGGGATCGAAGAAAATATGATAGTCTCATTGCGATAAACGTAGAGAGGATTGACTTTGCGAATGCCATAATCACATTTTCCACGTTTTCGCAAATCCGTTTATGTAGTAAAAAGATCAGTTTCTTCTGCGTTTTGAGATTTCTTACTAAATACGATAAACGTGTTTAAACATCCCATTGTCTCACTATTTCGTAATTCTACTTCCCCCTTATTTTATGTATAATCATATCGTAGACATCACATATAATATGGTTCTTTATATGTATAAATAACTTTCTGTAACTTATACAAAAAAAGACTTTCTGTATCTGAATCATTTTCAATTAATAGATGTTTGATTAACAATAATATGACACAAATATATGATGAAGCTATGATAACTCGAAGTAAGATAGATATGTGTCAAAAGAAATTAATTAAAAAAAAAAGAAAACAATGCATTGATCAAAACTTGTTTCATTTGATTAGGACATATTATGTTGGGCGGTGGGGGCATATTTTCAATCCTTTAGTTTATACTAACTCAGCGTTTCTTCTGTGTGAGAGATCCCAATCAGTGTCAACATAATGACATTTATTATTAAAATATACAATATATAAAACAAAATAAAATGATTGTTTAACAATAATTAAGCAAAGGGCAAATAGGGAATTTCACCATGGCTCCATGTACCAAAAGTCAAAGCATATAAGCTAAGCTTTCCGTTGTGTATATAAAACACGACCAAACTCGAGAAACTGATCAAGAGAAGCCATCAATTTCATTTTCGTTTTTTGGTTTTAATTTCTCTTTACGAAATCATGGAATCGGAGAAAGAGATGGAGATAATAGGCAATATGGCAAGTTGCTTGATTCTTCTGTCCAACTCTACGTCGAACCAAAACGACGACGTCGGAGGAGGTCGCGTCTTCACATGCAAGACGTGCAACAAGGCGTTCCCCTCTTTCCAAGCCTTGGGCGGCCACCGTGCGAGCCACCGGAGATCAGCGGGGATGGACGGTCACGCACCACCGTCGCCGAGGAAGCCGGCGACGCATGACTGCCCCATCTGCGGGGCGGAGTTCGCGGTGGGGCAAGCCTTGGGCGGTCACATGAGGAAGCATCGCGTTGGCCGGAGGACCGGAGAGGACACGACGGCGTTGCATGGATCGCCGGTGACGATGAAGAAATCCGGCGGAGGCAACGGTAAGAGGGTTTTGTGTTTGGATTTGAATCTGACTCCGTCAGAGAACGAAAATCTGAAGTTGAAGCTTGGCAGGATGGTTTTTTGACTTTGACCTTTACACACACACACACGTATTATACGTTTATCTCTGTGAATTAATTATTTGGTTGTCTTCAATTTTGTTTTATGGGCCGTTGATTAGTTTTGTATACATAAAATTTACACCGGTAACGTAATTATGAAATATATGATGTGCGTAGATACATAAATAAATCTTGTTTTCCCGGTTTAGAGAATTACAGTGTTTACAGTTTTAATTGTTTTCACATTAATATCCGTTTTGCAAAGTTATTTTCTTGGGAGAAAAAAGTTAGGTTTTCCAAATATGGATTAAGTCATAATCTAATACGAAGTCAATGTTTGGTACAGCCGTACAGGGCTTACAGCACAGGTTAATATTATTGTGATTATATATATATATATATATATATATATAAATGGCCTCCTTTTATTTGGTCGTCTATATTTCTTTTTAATTCTCAACTTTGTATTAATGTATTTAAACCACTCATGATCCTATATACCAAAGACCTTGTGACGTGCGGACGCGGTACCGAAAATCTCGTTCCAAGCTTTTATGAAAACCTAATGATTTTGTTGATAAGATTTAGAAGAATACCAAAAATATTTAGGGAAGGGTAGCATTTAGTAGAGCTTTTATCTGAAATATTTATAGATAAACCCTATAAAAAGATATACACCGATAAATATTTTAATTTTTTTTTATAATCTAAAAATTTATCGAATCTTTGATTCAATTAAATCACATGGAAAAGGAAGTTGAAATAATTCAAAATTGATAAAGAAAAAATACAACCGTAATAAACCTCGTATGAGAGTTGACGCTCCGGTTTCTACATTGTCCAATTCTAAATGTACTTCCAATTCATTGCGCTTTCTATTTTGATCCAATTCTTAATCCGATCTCCATCCGAACCAAGACCCTCTATATCAGCAAGAGTCTTTAAAAAAAAACCTAACTATTCGATTACACACTTGATAATCAATGGATATATATTGACTAATTTATTAAATGGATATATTGCGAATCACATTCCAGACTTGATGATAATCAATGGAATATTCATAAAAAGAGCTCCGAAAAAACCCGTTAAAAAAAAACCCTAATTAACTACATTAACCAATAGGAACTCGACTGAATTACTATTATTATTTTTGGGAAACGAACTCGACTAAATTATCTTCTTCGGACCCATGCATAGCTTCGGTTTCTTCTTCTCCCTCTCGACCGCTACCACTGTGCATGTTACGGAGAATCGCAGTATTCCTCTTCGTACTCGTAACCGCTCTCGATAAACTCAGGCCAGAAAGGCTCGATCATCTTTCCGACCCACGGTCTCTCCACGGTTTCCTGTTGGCCAAGCAACGATGTAGATGGCTCTTTCCTGTCGGGAAGTTCTTCCTCGTCCTGGCTCGATAAGTCGCGAGAATCGGTAGTTCCTGTGGAGTCATCGGCCAAATCGGAAAGTTCTTCCTCGGCCTGGCTCGATAAGTCGTAGGAATCGTTAGTTACTGTAGAGTCACCTTCCCAGTCGGGCTCAGAGCACAATGACACGAAGACCTCGAGCCTTGTCGACCGGCGGAACTGGAACAGCGGTTCCATGTTCCATGAGTTCAGATCATTGATTTCTGACATCCATGATCTGTCCTCTTCGCTTAATTCCCTCCAAATAGATGTGTCTGGTCCGACCATGATCACGTCACGTCTCCGAAGAACAGATCAGTAGAACGGGTTAGGGTTTCTGTGGAGAGAGACGAGAAGAGCTTGAGAGTGGAAAAAAAGACGAGTGAGAAGTGTGAGAGGGGATGAATGGCTTGGAGTGTATATATAAGCGCCCTTACTACTTATCCCAAGGAAAAAAGGATTTTAGATTTTCCAATTTCAAAAAGGAGATTATATTTCATTGGGATTAGTTTAGTGCTTAACTAATTAAATTCTTATCGTTTTGTTTATTGATATTATGGGAAATTAATAATTTTTTTTAAAAAAAAAAGTAGGAAGAAATTGTTGGGCCTTGAAGTCCAATTCCTCATCTATAATTTAATATTGGGCCGAAAATTAATATTAGGCCCAACAATTATCACAAAACCCCTTCGCCCCCCATTTAATATTTGCGTACATGAGATTTGTGATTTAATTATAAAATAAATGATGGCTGCAAAACATGTATGTATTTTGTTGTAGATCAGGTGTGTATGTTATCCTGTACACGGCGTCGTTTTAAGGTTTCATTTATAACTTTTTTTTATAGATATTTGTATACAATCTTTCACACAAGACACTAGAATATGAAATAATTATAAATAGAATTTGAAATAATTCAAGCTTGATTGCAATGCAATCGAATCGATCTACGTGTAATAACCTCAAAGTAAAGGGCTGTTTTATTAAATGTAAATATTGCAAATCTCCTTGCTTGCTTGATAATCAACGGAATATATCTATGATTGCATCAACTTGGTCATTGATTATAAACAGAATCGAATAATTAATAAATTATTAGAATTCAATGGATCTACGTATAATAATCTCATGGGACATAAAAGATTGAACACAATATGTATGACACGTGGGAAAAAGTCCAATTGAAACCACCTAGGCAATGAACATTTCCGACCGCAATAATAGAACCGAAAAAGTAATTAGAAAAAAGAAGAGTAATAATAATAATGGAGGACCAAAGGTAATGGGTTCAAAGCATATGCTTGAGAAGATACTCTCTCAAAAAACACCTTTTTTTTTTAATTTAAATATTTATAAAACCCAACGAAAAGACGTCTCTTTCATTCGGCTTTCTCCTCTTGAGGCCCTAAAAAGGCCATCCATGTATGGAGGTCTCTCGTTATCTCAATCTTCACATTTATTTATTTATATATTTGAGTAAAGAAGCTTTCAATGCTCTGCAGTCGCCGGTCAACACACGTGTCACTCTCTCCTTCCACCGGCGATGAGATCAACGGCTGAGATTCGACGGCGATCCGGAGATTATTGTAAGGTGTGCGTTTCATGATATGATTTAGGTTTTGGGCAACTATGTATCCTTTGGCAGTTTGTCTTCGTGTTCCTTCCTTCCTTGTTGTTGTTACAAGTTCATGATCCATAAATTTTCTGAAACATGTTATTCAAATTTTATGACTTGACCGACTTAATAAAAAAAAGGGTAAACAAAAAAGATGCTAGCCATTTTTATTTTTTATGGGGTGTCTCATAAGGGACCAAATCTGAAATATAATGACGAAATGCGTATGGAAAATGTTCGAGATTGTCACACGACTATTTAGATGTACGAGCATCAGATTAAACCCAAATGGTAAATCTTCAATCACAATTCATAAGCATTAGATCAAACCCTAAATCCTAAACCCAAAGATAACCGGTTCTAAAGCTAGCAAATAAGCTCAGCCGGTTTCCAATTCCGGACAGAGAACATTATCTCCATCCGGACCATACCTAAGATCGGTTGAAGGATATTGTTTTCAGCAATTCCGCGTTTTATGGTTTTTTGTCAGGTCCAATGGCCCTTTTTGTGCCAAGAATTTAAAGCCAATCAATGTCTAATAGATAGCCGAAAATACAAATAATAACATCATATATCAATTTTTAACTAATTTGAATCAAACGAAATCTTAAACTCGAATTAAAAGTTAATATAATCAATTTTTGCAGAATGAATTCCGTTTCTCAATACATTCTTCTAAAAGTTAACATGCACTGATCTCACAGATATTGCTGCATCATACTAAAGTTTCTTAATTCAGACATTAGCAGAGCAAATTAGAACAGAACGGGGAGAAAGTCGCATGAACAGATAACAAAACATTCTGAAACGATTCCTTAAGTCGCAGAAAAACAGCATAACTACAATATCGAACATTTGTAATGGAAACCAGAGGTTTCAATTTCATCTCACATGGTGTCAACCAAGAACGAGCTACAACTTGTCCAAAACACGAGTCATAGACAAAGGCTTAAGCTTTCTTTGGGGATTTGCCCGCCTTAGAAGGAGACTTGGAAGCGGTTTTCGGTTCCTGTGAAGCTTTCTCGCTCTTCTTCGGTAACAGAACCTGATGTATGTTGGGAAGAACACCGCCGTGAGCGATTGTCACACCGGCAAGCAATTTTCCGAGCTCTTCGTCGTTCCTTATGGCGAGAAGAACGTGCCTGGGAATGATTCTGTTCTTCTTGTTGTCTCTTGCCGCATTTCCAGCGAGCTCGAGAACCTATGCATCAAATAAAACAGAAACCCATTAATCAAAACCATAGACGAGGCAAATACAAGAATGCCCAACAACCCTAAGCAATGATTCAGTTCTGACAAGCAAATGGCGAAGAATTTGTACCTCTGCAGCCAAATACTCGAGGACAGCAGCGAGATAAACCGGTGCTCCGCTTCCCACACGCTCAGCGTATCTTCCTTTCTTGAGGTAACGACCGATTCTTCCAACAGGAAACTGAAGGCCGGCCTTCACCGACTTGGCTACCGGCTTAGTCCTCGGACCACCGCCTTTCCTTCCTCCGGCTCCTTTCTTCACTTTCCCTCCGCTCTCCATCTCCGGTTAATGATTCGACCCGACACGGGAAAAAGATGTGTTCAGAGAAGGTTTGTGAGGCCTCGAATTATGATAGGTCGTCGGAGAATGAAGTTCAACCGCGATAATCTCGAGTGTTTTTATAGAGGAGAGGGAGAAGCCCCAACGTTAGAGAGGACCGTTGGATGTAATATTATCGACGGTTGAGATCATCTGAATGGAGATCCGTGTGAAGGGGAATCATAGGAAGGAAAAGTGCATTGTTTTTTTGTTGTTGGGAAAATTCGAAATTTATGGATCGCGGGTTTGGGCGCCAGATCTGATTTTTTTTTTCGTGTGTGTGGAGATCGGCCCAATTTATCGGTTATCAAAAACCGGTTTGGCACTTTAGAGATAACCATTTGGAGTTGGTTTTAAAATCACTATAATAACCGGATCCACTTAAAATTTCGATTTTTCAATATGTTACTTTAAAACAAATGATCATATATCATTATGCAAATATTTATGTACTGTTTTTTGGTTTCCATTAAAAGGTAAAGACTTTAAATTGTTTTTTTTTTTAAATGAGTTAACTCTAGCATCTGTCTAAACCGCCATAATCTATAGTTCATATATATATGTACGCTGCGTGTGCATGCATATATAAAAATTTCAATTTAACAATATATAATTACTTGAATATCTCTTTACCTTTCATTGTTCCTAATCTTATTGTATTCTTGTTGTAATTTTTTATATTTTTAGGTAACGTGTGGTTAAGATATCTTCCACTTTTTACTTATAATATTCTTGATATAAATTTTGGTACTTTGTAATGAAAAAGAAAATAAAAACTAGATATATACTTTCGATTCGGTTTCTCAGAAGAATTAGATTGAAACGAAAAATTCGATATCGTTACCAAATTAAACCAACCTCGAATGGTAATGTTTTTAGAAAATTAAATATCATATGAACGAAAAGAAAAATTAAAAATCTGAAAAACTTAAAATTTATTAAGAAATATACGCCAATACAGTATAATAATCTATTGTTACGCATTTTTTGTAAAAACAAATGAACAATATCGATTCGTTAATCGAAGAACAAAGAGCCTATCCATAGGAAAACCGAAAAAAACTAACATATTCCGCGCGTGGATATCACGAAAGCCCCCTCCAAAACTTAATGGTTCCCACATTATCCATCCGTTTCTTCTCATTCCAAGAAAAACACTCTTCCGCATCTCTCACAGCCGTAGATCCGAAATCACTTATCCAACGGTCAAGAATATCCACATCATCAATCCTCGTCAATTATTCTTATCCAATAGCGTACGTCATTGTCTTCTCTATAAAATATCAACTCCTCCCCTATCTTCACGGCAACCCTTAGCCCTAACTCTTCCGTCACAGCTTCTGACTATTTCATTCCGAATCTTTTTGGTTTCCGAGAAAATCAAAGAGAAATTTCCGATGGCACCCAAGGCCGAGAAGAAGCCCGCGGAGAAGAAACCGGCCTCTGAAAAGCCGGCGGAGGAGAAGAAGGTCGCGGAGAAAGCTCCGGCGGAGAAGAAGCCGAAGGCCGGGAAGAAGCTGCCGAAGGAGGCCGGCGGAGCCACCGGCGACAAGAAGAAGAAGCGGACGAAGAAGAGTGTGGAGACCTACAAGATCTACATCTTCAAGGTGTTGAAGCAGGTTCATCCCGATATCGGGATATCGAGCAAGGCAATGGGGATCATGAACAGCTTCATCAACGACATCTTCGAGAAGCTTGCTCAGGAGGCTTCAAGGCTCGCCAGGTACAACAAGAAACCCACAATCACGTCTCGGGAGATTCAGACCGCGGTCAGACTTGTTCTTCCAGGTGAACTCGCCAAGCACGCTGTCTCCGAAGGGACCAAGGCTGTGACCAAGTTCACTAGCTCTTGAAGAACAAAAAATTAGGGTTTGGGGTTTCTGGGTCTGTGGGCTATAATGCTTTAGGGACTAGTTGTGGGTTTTCTGTGAATCTGTAATGCTGATTAGGGATTAGCATGTTGTCTCATGCTTGATTGTTAAACGTATCTTGGATGTAATTATTAAGAACAGATGGTTTTCCGTTGATGGAGATGATAATCTCTCTCTTCCTGCTTATGTTCGTGGTTGTTGACTAAATATCATCTGGTAGCGTTTGCGTATGGTTCTTTGTTCGAAAACTCTTCTTTAGGAAATGTGGTTGATTTAGATTCTTTGTTCATGCTTTCCGATTTTGTTTGCTTAGTCTCTTTTCTTCAATGCAGATTGGAAATGAATACCGTAGATTTACTTTGTGTTGATGTAGATTAGAAATGGTACTAATTTCGATTTACCTAAAACCACCCACCAAGATTGCATCCCCATTATATTTTTAAACCGAACAAAAATCTCAATTCTTGAGCAAGAATTTGACACATAAGTGGAAGATTAGATTACTCCACTTAGGAAGACCAGTAGTTAGCTGCTGTTTGAAAACAAGGAAGGTGATGTCTCACTATCTCTTTCACAAACCATAAACATCAGATTTTGGTGAACCCCCACAATACACATAAACTATAAAATAAACTTCTTGTTGTTGTTGTCTGTCATCATTACAAGATCTGCTGAAATCATTCTCTGCCCTTCGTTTTGCCCTCAAGCTTAATACCTTAAATTACTTGCACATGTACGTATGAGGATCTCAATTCTGAATTTTAAGGTTAATTAGACAAGACCACATTTTTTCCTTTGTTCATGTTAGGCGGTAATCAACACAATAAAGGGACCGCGGTAATTGCTTTCTCGCCGAACACAACTGACGAGTTTTCCATTTTATTTAATTCCAGTTTGTGATTTTTTTTTTCTCAGGTTGCCGGAAACGTGGGGGTCTCAAAGGAAGGAGAAGACCCGGCAAGGAAGGGGAAACAGGGAGATTCGGATAAAGAAGAGTTCAACCAAAGGGCAAATCCGTAAATTAGAAATCAGTCTCTTTTAAGGGGTGGTTAGTTTAACGTGCAAGCACCTCCCCCACCATTCTCGTTTTCCCTCAACTCAAAAAACTCACACAGAAGAAACCGCAAGATCAAAGAAAGTTCCAACATTTTCCAATTTGTGTAGTGTTGTATTTGTATCCTTTGAATGCCCAAACAGCAAAAAGACACAACCTTTTTGTATTTCTCCAACAACAACTCACCAAATTAAATCCCTTTCACGCCGACGAACCCCTGTCGTGATTCTCCTTCTTTCTTCTTCTTCTTCCCGTTTTCATGTGCTGTCGCCTAATCCCGTCTCTGATGGAGTCGTTTCTCCGGAGAATCATGGCGGGTTGGCCTGTCTTCGTCCAGGCGGCCACGTGGACTGTGCTTCTGATGTTCACGGTGGCCGTCGCTTCGTTCGCGCCGGAGATGGCTTTTGTGTCGACGGTGTCGTCGTCATCGGCGAAGCCTTGCGGCGGAGATGGGTTTTCGAGGATTCCTTTGGATTTTCCGGCAGAGAGCGTTTGCGTGCCGTCTCACATGGTGAAGAGATCTTCGTTGGATGTTTGCGTGCCAACAGTCTTCGCGGCGGTGATGGTGGCGGCTTCGGCGTGTGTGATCAGATCGTGCTTCGGGATCGAGAGTGGTGTAGACAGGCATTGATGTTTTTTTGTTGTAATTTATTGATTTAAGCATACTGTTTTATATTACATAAATAAAATACCAACATCAAAGGGTCCTTAGCTCAGTGGTAGAGCATTTGACTGCAGATCAAGAGGTCACCGGTTCGAACCCGGTAGGGCCCTCAATTCCAAATTCCATTTGTTTTATAAACTCTTTTTTTTAAAAAAAAAAAAAAAAAACTCAGGAAATTCGCCTCCAAACTTTTTGTTCAGCAGACAGACTGAATTCCGCGAAGAACCTGATAATCGAGAAGATGGTGAAATCCGACAGATGAATCTCTCACAATTCTTTCAATATTACTGTATCTTTTTTGTAACAACATACTTTATAAGATCAATCCAATTATCCCAAAATTTCAAAGTTCGATCCCAAAATCATATATAAACAAGTAGACGATTGAGTGCAATTTATAGATAAGCAATTGGGTTTTATCCATTCTCACTGAAATGAAAATGTTCATCTCGTACTAGTAATCAATAATCGCCGAAACCCAATCCACAACGCACAACTTGAGAACAATGGTTTTCTTCACCAAAAGGTGATTTTAACGATTTAAGGTTTTGAAATCGACAAAATACAAAAGCATCGCAACCAAGCCTACCTGATCTACAACAGAGCACTAACAATAGACCAAATCTAACCGCCGAAACCGTAGAGAGTTCTTCCTTGCCTCTTCAGAGCGTAGACGACGTCCATGGCGGTCACAGTCTTTCTCCTGGCGTGCTCCGTGTAAGTCACGGCGTCTCTGATGACGTTCTCGAGGAAGATCTTGAGCACTCCCCTGGTCTCTTCGTATATCAGACCACTGATTCGCTTCACTCCTCCTCTACGCGCCAGCCGCCTAATCGCCGGCTTCGTGATTCCTTGGATGTTATCCCTCAGAACCTTCCTGTGCCTCTTGGCTCCTCCCTTTCCGAGCCCCTTTCCTCCCTTCCCTCTTCCCGACATTTTCCCGGAGAGCTTCGAATTTTCTTAGAAACCAAACAAGGATTTGTGAAACCTTTTGAATTTAGAAATGATTTCCGCTTGTTTATCCATCCGGAAGAAAGACGCTTTATAGAAATCACGGACAGAAATTAACCGTTGGATCTTAAGACGCATCCAACTACGAGGAGTATGATCCTGGTGAAAGCTATTGGTGTGGAGTAATAACAGACGTCGATTCTCTATTTATCGACGGCCGTAAAGCTTTCATATAAAATGACGCGGATCGGCTTTAGGCTTAAATTTATTAAATTTCTATGGAGAAGTAGAGATCCATTAAAAATGGGTAAACGTAAGTGGGCCTTATTCCAATAACTAATCGGGCTTCTAAGCCTTAGCTGAACCCATGGCTTCTACTGGCCATGTCAGTGTCCTTCGGCCTCCACTTCTTGATACTGTACGTACCGTTCTTGGCTCAACGAGTGGCTGCTGGTTTTGGCAGTGGCCCTTCCCGTGATTCTTATCGACGAGCTTCTTAAATTCGTCGGAAGGTGTACTACCAGCCTACGTTACGCTCCTCGTACCACCGTCCCCTCCAAGCAGAAGGCTGAGTAAGAGAAGAAGCGCAGCGTTAGAGACTCTCGGACACTTTTTTTCTTGTCTCAACTTCAATGCAGAAACTCTTGTTTTTTTTTTTTGTCTGAGGACGGAGTTGTGGCATTTTGTATTCAAACTCCATAAACTGAAATTTTCATTTATACAAATAACATTCCATTACTTGCGGACTGTCTCCCGGCTCCCCCCATGTATTTGATAGAATGGTATTTTTATCTGTCCATTTTCGTCAACGTTGTTTGTAGCAAAATATCGCGACTTTCCAATGACAATTCCAAGCACTTTATTTAGACCGTGAACTGCCACCAAAAGAGAGAGCATCGACGATGGCCGATCACCACCACCACCACCACCGGCCCAATCGTCTAAGCGTGCCTTCACGCGCCGCCGTGACAGCCGGCAGATCCTACCCTTCTTTCCCTTACACTCCGACTCCCACACCCTCCAAAACCCGTCTCTCCAGATCCATCCATGGAAGCGGCAAATCCTCCATTTCCTTCCTCTTCCTCATCCTCTTCTCTCTCAGATCCCTATACTCTCTCTTCCCTTTCCTTCGCTCCTCTCCTTCCTTCTCCCTCTTCCCTTTCTCCTTCCTCGTCTCTCTCCTCTCCTTCCTTCTCTCCCTCGCCTTCTCCCTCCTCCCCGCACTTTCTCGATCCAGGAAAGATCCCTTCTTCCGCCAGAACCATGCCGTTTTCTCCCTCTCGTCTCTCTCGTCATCTCATCGCAACCTCTTGTTCGGTAAATCTCTTCTTTTGGCCGCTGTGTTCCTCCTCCGGTTTCAGGCTCTCCGTTATTGCGGCGCTGCTGCTATGATCTTGGCCGAGCTCTCCGGCACCGTGGCTGCGAGATTTGTTGTGGAGGCTCAGAATCGAAGGTCCAGCGATGGAGGCAACATCGGTTCCTCTAAGGTTCGTGGGTTTTGCGTTCTCTTAGTTGGGTTGTTGTTGTTGTCGATCAGCTGGGATAGGGTTGACTGTTTCCCTTTCTCTTCTTCGTTTGTCCAAAAATGGGGGTTTTGGTTTTACCCTAGAGAGAATTGCATCAGAATCTGGCCTATGCTGCTTCCCTTTCTATCTGGGTTTTTGGGCTGCTATGAGAAGGTTTCCATGAATTGGGTCGGAATCAGACAGCTTGATCAGAAGCGAGTTCGATTGGTCTCCTTGTTCTTGACCACGGCATTGCTCTTCATCCCTGCCCTTGTGAGTTTCCTGTTCTTCGAAGGCGACAAAGACGGTGTGTCAATCGAAAACCTGGGTTGGCCTTTAGCTAACACTGTTGTCTTTGGAGTGCTTCTTAGTGAGAATTACAGCAAAGATAAGATAGCGGATTCAAAAGATTTCGAAAAGGAGTTCTTGGTCACGTTTCTTTGCACCATAGTATTGGAACTCTTCTACTTCCCCGAGCTCTCCCTCTGGGGCTTGCTCTTGTGTGGCATATTGCTCTATGTTGCTGTCAGAGACTTGGACTCAGTGTACTATCACGAGATCGGATTCGAGTCACCAGATTCGCTTTCTGCCTTGTTTATGAAACCAATACGTCACATTTTGAGCGAGAAGAAATCTCGGAAGATTGCTCTGTTCCTACTGATCAACGCTGCTTACATGGTAGTAGAGTTTGTGGCTGGGTTCATGAGCAATAGTCTTGGACTGATATCAGATGCATGCCACATGCTGTTTGATTGTGCAGCTCTGGCCATAGGGCTCTACGCTTCGTACATATCTCGTCTACCCGCAAATCATCAGTTTAACTATGGTCGGGGAAGGTTCGAGGTATTGTCTGGTTACGTTAATGCGGTGTTCCTCGTTCTTGTTGGAGCTCTGATTGTGTTGGAATCGTTTGAGAGGATCTTGGATCCTCAGGAGATATCTACGAACAGTCTGTTGGTTGTTTCGGTTGGTGGGCTTGTCGTGAATGTTGTCGGCTTAATCTTCTTCCATGAGGAGCATCATCATGCCCATGGTGGATCTGGATGCACACATTCTCACCATCACCATCATCACCACAGCCATGAACATGAGCATCATGAAGCTATCACACTGTCCTGTGAGCATCATCATCATGATAAAAGTGAGGACACTGGCTGCCATGATCATCACCATCACCACCATGACAATCATGATCACCATCACGGCCATGGCCACCATAGCCATGATCATCATCACGGCCATGATCACAACCACAGCCAAGGTCATGACCAAAACCCGGCAAAACCTGAAAACAGCCGGAAATCAGACCACAAGTCGGCGCAAAAGGACCATAATCATCATCACATCGACCACAACATGGAAGGGATCTTCCTCCACGTTCTGGCAGACACAATGGGAAGTGTCGGCGTCGTAATATCGACGCTCTTAATCAAGTACAAGGGCTGGCTGGTGGCCGACCCGGCTTCCTCAATCTTCATCTCGGTGCTCATCATCTCCTCAGTCATTCCATTACTCAGAAACTCGGCAGAGATTCTTCTGCAGAGAGTTCCAAGGGTTCAGGAGCGAGATCTGAGGGAAGCTGTGAGGAGAATTCGAGGCATTAGAAGTATACAGAGGCTCCATGTTTGGAGCTTCACGAACACAGAGGTGGTGGCCACTCTCCATCTCCTCGTATCAGCAGATTCAGACAAGGAGTCGACCAAGAGACATGTCTCGAGCTTGTTAGAAGATGCAGGTGTAAAGGACCTTACTTTGCAGGTCGATTGTCTTAACTCGTAGCAATAGAAATGGCTCTGTTTCTGAAACTTGGGACTCCTCCTTGATAATTTTTTTTATTTCCTTGTTTTACTTTGGGCATTTTCATGGAAGAAAAGGAAGAAAAAAACTCTTTTTTGGGTACACGGCAACAATTTTTCGATAATTAGAAATGAGCACAGATGCAGAGACTCCATTACAGCCGTCAGATCATCAGAGACTACAACTTGCTATTAATCCAACGGCTGTTAGTGGACGTACTTATATTCCCATCTCTTTGTGATTTTGTCCTCGACCTGGTTAGCTCTGATCTGAGAGACGAAGAAAAAGCTCACAGTAGTAGGAGGAGGAGAAGGAGAGAGAGAGAGGCATGTTCTTCACTATCATCGATAGTACGTGAACTTTACGATCACATTTTCATTTGCTCAGATTTCTTTCCTAGTCGGATTTGGCCGTGTAATTTCAGTTTTCTGATTCTGGTTTCAGTGATCTTTGAACCCTAGCAGGCTTACACCGTGCTTCAGTTTATTTTGCTCTGATTCAAGTTTCATTTTGTGTTCTTGTGCACGCCGTGAGTTCGTAAAACCCTGTTGTTGGATCCGCAGATGATGATGATGATGATGCGAAAAACACGACCTTCATTGATAAAGCAGATGGGCAATTTCAACTGTGGAATCTCTGTCCGAGCGTATTGTAAGATCTCTGTCTCCAAATCAGAATCTCTCATTTTGCAATTAAGAAATGGAGAAGGATAAGAAGACGAATGGAAGCTGAAATCTGTTCATCGATCATATGAAGTATATCACTGCAAAATCCAAAAGGTACATAGGCCAAGAACGAAGCCATGGGCCATGGCTCAAAGATTCGCCTTGGAATTAAACTCAAATGCAATGGAAGTAAATGCTTTGATGTTTCTCAATGTTTTGGTCGTTTCTAGCACTTATTTCCTATAACTCAGAAAATGCAAGAAAAAGGATAGCGCAAGTTCGATGTAATCCATGGAGTAGATTGGTTCGAGCTTTGCTCAATCTTCGAGCCGGGAGACTCAGTTCTTCTTCTGAACGCCCAGCCTCAGGCGAAAATCTTCCTCCATGAGAGGCAGCCCGTCTCTCAGCTTGACCTTCGGTTCCCAACCCAACAACGTTTTGGCGTTGGTGATGTCGGGCTTCCTCTGCCTCGGATCATCAGGTGTGTTCTCCACCATCTTTACCTCCACTTCCGGGTTTATTAGCTGCAAAAACCTCTATCAGTGACATTTCTGATGCTAAGTGATAATGGGTTTGCTCATCACTGAGAAAGCTAACCTCTTTCACATTCTCAGCAAGTTCAATCATGGTGAATTCGCCTGCAAGAGGATGTATACGAGATATTATATTCATATATGCAAACAGAGGGTGGACAATTCGTTACAAGTACGGTGGTTATGGTGGGAAACCTGGGTTGCCGATGTTGATAGGGCCAGTGTGTTCTCCTTCCATGAGACGGATCAGACCCTCCACCTGCAAATATCCATGAAAATGTTACAAGTTCAAAGTGTGCTTTTTGTGCATCACGGACAACTGGAGCAACAACACTGCAAGTACCATGTCTGAGACATAACAGAAACTGCGGGTTTGAGTGCCGGGTTTCTGAACAGTCAGAGGCTCACCCCTAGAAACCGAAAAGGGAAATATCAGATGATGATTCAAGAATGCAATTGAAGCAAAAGAGAGAATGTGAGTGAACTCGGGGTCTGGTTTCACTTTCAACCTGAGAGCTTGAGCAATGAAGTTGCTCACGACACGGCCATCATCAATGTTCATGCGAGGACCGTATGTGTTGAAGATCCTAGCTATGCGTATCTCTACAACAACAACAAGACATTGCTCGATAAAACCAATCAGTAAGTTGACATCTTCGGGAGGGGAATGAATGGACATATGTACATTGCTTACCAATCCCATGCTGCCTGTGGTAATCAAACATCAGAGTCTCGGCCACACGCTTTCCCTCGTCGTAGCAGCTTCTAACCCCTGTTTTCAGATCAATGTGTTAATATCGATATGTGGAATTCCTGTTTTAAAAAAAAAAAACTTACGGGACTAACGGTATGTTGCCACTCACCGATAGGGTTTACATTTCCCCAGTAACTCTCCGGTTGAGGGTGAACGAGAGGATCTCCATACACCTCAGATGTTGAAGTAAGCAAAATCCTGGGCCAACATTCACGGAGAGGTGAACACCAGGAAAACAGTTACGGAAACTCGACGAAAGGGAAAACGGGTGATTCCCAAAACCTGGCTCCGACACGTTTGGCAAGCCCTAGCATGTTCAGGGTACCGATCACGTTCGTTTTGATCGTCTGCCATGGAAAATACACCATTTGCAGAAGTCAAAATCGGCGTGATAACATGATCATCAAGAACAGTAAGATACAAGAGTCTTGATGAACGCAACAGACCTTGACAGGGTTGTGCTTGTAGAAGATGGGAGAAGCAGGGCATGCGAGATGGTAAATCTGATCCACCTCCACCAACAAAGGCTCAGTCACATCTGTCCATATGATCAAAGTTCAACGACAGTTAACACTCTGCTTCATCTACTGTGAACAGAGAATCAGCTCAAGAATATGAACAGAACCATGACGGATGAGCTCAAATCTCGGATGATCTATCCACTTCCTTAGATTGTCCTTCGATCCCGTGAAGTAATTATCGGCGACGATTACCTGAACAGACGGTTTCAGAGTCAGGAATATACCGATTTCTCGATGAGATCCGGTTGGAATGTAATTTATAGAATACCTCGTTCTTCTCGTTCTGCATCAATCTGTCGACGAGGTGAGAGCCGATGAATCCTGCTCCTCCGGTGACCAATATCCTCATATTGGACTGCCATTTTCAACATCAGATTCAGACTACAACAGTGAATATCAACCATTCATTCTACCATCTTACAACTATTCAGAATTTCTTATTTTGGTGGAAAACACATTTCACAAATAATGTCACATACTTTTCCCAAAATCCCAAATGGAATCTGATGGATCAAATGACGCATATATATATATATATATATATATATATATATATGTGTGTGTATATGTATATAACAGCAAAACACAACATAACTTGCATAATTGAATCAGATTCACTCAAGTACAATTAGACTAAAATCTCGAAACTCTTAATGCAGACAATCTTGGCGAACAAAAAATGAAGTATATATTTTTATCAGAATAAAAGAGAGAGAGAGAGAGAGAGAGAGAACCTGACAAAACTTGGAATTGCGAAGAGGGGAAGGCGTAGGCGGCGGCTTCGTGGTGGTTTGATGGCCATTGGTCGCCATTTGCTGAATTTCTCCTCCCAAAAAATCGGATGAACCCTAATCATATATCCACCGTTGCTCCCATCAGCGTTTGAGCGAATCGCTCATACACATGCATATACATACACACGTATTATATATACACACACACACAAACAAAATCATGCAGATCAGAGAAGAGGATATAAACCTGATGATAGGGAGAAGAGAGAAAGTAAAACCCTTAAAATCTTCGAACTGAATCCCTAATCTATCACTCTTCTGATCTCTGATATATATCATCCGAATAGCAAGAGAATCGTATTTATAACCGAGCGGAAATTCGTATAAATAAATATATTAATAAAAAAACATATAAAGAAGAGTCCAAAATCAAACCTCCTCCGACAAAAACTGAAAACTACGCAAAACCCAGAGGGAAAATTAAAAAGAAACATGCACCAGAAAAAACGAAGCTTCGAAAGCACGAAAGAGATTGACGAAAGCTCCTCGAAAGCAATAATCAAATGATCAAATTGCACCAACCCAATATAAATCTCTTCACCAGACGTCTCTTTTGGATCAAGGGCCACCGAAAAGTCAGAAAATTTATTCACAAGACAGCTAAAGTATTGGCCTTTCGCAGTGGCGGATCCAGAAAAAATTTTCACTGGGGGCATAATTATATATATATATATATATATATATATATAAAAATAAAATTTATACAAAAT